CTGTCTCATATAAAAAAGCGTGGTTGGCAAAACAGAATGCCATTTGCAAACTTCATGGCGAATGGGATTCCTCTTACAACGAGCTGCCCAGTTGGTTTCATGTTATGCAAAGACTTAATCCCGGGACAATTGTTGAGTTCGAAACTCAACATCATTACGTGAATGATCGAATGGTTCGCGATCGCTGCCAATTTTACCGAGTCTTTTGGACTTACCCTCAGTGTATTAATGCAGTCAAGTACTGTAAACCAATTGTCCAAATTGATGGTACTTTCTTGTATGGGAAATACAAGCAAGTTTTATTATTGGCTGTGGTCCAAGATGGAAACCGCAATATTCTTCCTGTTGCGTTTGCCCTCGTTCAAGGAGAAGACACTGAGTCTTGGGCTTTTTTCCTTAAAAATTTACGTTTACATGTTGTCACCAGGGAACGAGTATGCATTATTTCAGACCGAGGAGCCGGGATAAAAGCAGCAATGGACTTTTTGGGTACAATGTATAGACCTCCACATGTTCAACATCGTTATTGTGTCCGTCATATTGCTGCAAACTATTACGGAAAATACAAGAATAACGATGAACGTCAGTTAGTCGTGCGGATGGGTATGTTACTTTTTCCCAATTTTTCTATCAATTTCTTATTACTTATTTATACTTCATATTAACTATTACATATTCCTAATGACTTAGGTTACGAACTCTTACCTCAAAGGTTTGAGTCGATGCTACAAGAGCTGTTTGGCATAAATAAGAAGGGGTGCGAGTACATTATGGACATCAGCAAAGAAATGTGGACAAATGCATATGACGGGGGGTATCGCTATGGTCATATGACAACAAACTTGGCTGAAGCAATAAATTCAACCTTAAAGGGGGCGCGTCATTTACCAGTCACGGCGTTGGTCAAAACGACTTATTTTCGTTTGGGTCAACTCTTTGCAAAACTCGGTGGACAAGCTCTTACTTGGATGCAAAACGGACATATTTACCACCCAAGACTAGTAGCCGATTTACAGAAAAAAATGGCTACATCAAATGGGATGTTAGTTACAAATTTTTCTCGCACCCGTGAATTGTTTCGTGTAACCGAAATGCCACGTCCGCTGCAAGGGATTGAAGCTAACTCTTTCAGAGTTAATCTGCAAGAGAGGTGGTGCGATTGTGGTTTCTTTCAAGCACTCAAATATCCATGCTCTCATGTCATTGCTGCTTGCTCACATTCGCATTTGGACTACAAAAATTATGTTGATCCCGTATACCAACTTTCACAAGTTTTCAAGGTATATGAATTTGAGTTTCCGCCCATAGGAAACGAAAGAGACCCAAATGAGATTCAAACTTGGCTTACAATTGTCCCAGATCCATTGCTATTGAGGGACTCAGGTCGTCCAAAATCTACTAGAATACATTGTGATATGGATATTCGGGAGAAGTCAACAGAACAAAAACGATGTGGGCATTGTAGAAACATCGGGCACAATAGAAAAAAATGTCCAGCTCTGTTATCATCATATAACCGTTAACTCTTATGTAATTAAAGTTTTTAAATGAATGTTTTATTTCTAATAATTTAATGTTATTGCATTTATATAATTTGTCAATGTATGTACACCTAAATAATTTTTTTTAACTTTTAAATACATAAATATATTTAATATATTTATTTAATATAATATTTAATATTATTAGTTATAATTTTTACATTATAATCGAAACATTTTACATAATATAATCGAAACATTTTACATAATATATTATTAATTTATAATAATAATAAAAATAAACTATTTATTATAAAACAAAATACGTGTCTGCTGAGTTGGCAAAGGCGCGTCCCCGGGGACGCGCCTTTCATACGTGGCATCCAACTCAGCGAAAAACCGGGTAAAGCGCGCCCCCGGGGACGCGCCTTTGCCAACTCAGCAGAAAGGGTGCTAGTTTTGGAAATATTGGTCGAACGGTGTTAGAAAAGTAAAAATAAAAACAAACGGTGTCAGTGGGGTAAAATCACCCAGAAATTTGCTCCCTATAGAGTCAATGAAATTAATTACACACGCATATATATATATATATATATATATCGTTACTGCAGAAGTTGGTGACAACTATATTGCCTAGGAGCTACAGAGGGTTGCTTTATTTCAATGCAGTGTAACAAAGAACAAAGCTTGCAACTTTTGCTTTTTTTTCTTTACGATCTTGCTTTTCCCCCACTCGGATTCTTCTTCCCTACCAATTTGCTTTTGAAAATTTGAAGGACCCCATTGTTTTTTTACATCTTTTTAACCTGTAAATGCTTTCAAATTGGCCCAAATTGATTGTTCTTTCTTGGAGCTTTGAGAATTTTGCTTTTGAACACCTTTAAGTTGAAGGGATACTTGCATTAGTTCATGAGCCTGCTCTGATCAAACTATGTTGCATTGTGTTCTGTAGGTGAAACCACGAGGAAAAGTGGCAGATTATACTCGTAAAATCCGATGAAGTTCCATCACTTGGTTGCCTTCCTTTTGCTTGTGTTATTGCCTCTGCATAGGTTTCTTCATGTTGTCGCTGATCTGAATTCCGACCGGCGAGCTCTCCTCGGGTTTTCCGGTGCGGTTCGACATGTTTGGAAACTGAACTGGAATGCTATGACCCCGGTTTGCACAGCGTGGGTCGGCGTGACTTGTGATACTAATGGGACCAGTGTGATTGCCATACGGCTTCCTGGTGTAGGACTTTATGGCACCATACAGCTAAGACGATAGGCAAGCTTAATGCTCTGAGGGTCCTCAGCCTTCGGTCGAACGGCATCGATGGAAGCCTTCCTTCCGATATCCTTTCCATTCCTTCACTTCAGCTTCTGTTCCTCCAACACAACAACTTGTCCGGTGTCTTGTTCCCCACGTCTCTTTCCTCGAGCTTGAAAGTTGTGGATTTTTCTTACAACTCGATATCGGGATCCATCCCGAATCTCGATCTCCCAAGGCTCAAAGTTTTGAATTTCAGCTATAATAACTTGAGTGGCTCCATTCCAAGTTCACTCACAAGGTTTCCTTCTGCTTTCATCGGGAATCCGTTTTTATGCGGTTCGCCTCTAAAGCCTTGCTCCAGAGTGTCCTCTGCACCTTCCCCTTCTCCGTCGTACTTTTCGAGCCCTCCGATAGTTTCTCAAAGCGGACATGCTACATCGAGAAACAAACTCGGTGCTGGTTCTATCATTGCAATTGGGGTTGGGGGCTTAGCATTTGTGTTCCTAATGGTTGTAGTGATCTTTATATGCTGTTTGAAGAGGAAAGATAATGGGAGCAGTGGGATGCTGAAGAGCAAAATCTCTGGAGTTGGAAAGAACGAGAAGCCTAACGATTTCGGAAGCGGAGTACAAGAAGCCGAAAAGAACAAATTGTTCTTCTTCGAAGGATGCTCGTGCAACTTCGATCTCGAGGATTTGTTGAAGGCTTCGGCCGAAGTTCTCGGTAAGGGGAGTTACGGTACCACATATAAAGCGGCTTTGGAGGAAGGGACACAAGTGGTGGTGAAAAGATTGAAAGAAGTTGCAGCTGGTAAAAAGGAGTTTGAGCAGCAAATGGAACTCGTCGAGAGGGTTGGACGACATCCTAACATCGTACCGCTTCGTGCTTATTATTATTCGAAGGATGAGAAGCTGTTGGTTTACAACTACATGCCTGCCGGTAGCTTGTTCACACTTTTGCACGGTATGCTTATCTCCGACATCATTCTCCAATCTCCATTAACATCATAATGAACCTATTAACATCACATTGGTATGTGAATCTGTTTACATTTTTAGGCTTATTTATCTGTCTCCAACAATGGTAGGAAACGGGAGTTCCGGTAGAACACCGTTGGACTGGGAATCGAGAATGAAGATCACACTCGGTACTGCTAGAGGGATTGCAAACATTCACACGGAGGGTGGTGGTAAATGCATCCATGGCAACATCAAGTCCTCGAATGTCCTCCTCACCGATGAACTCGAGGCTTGTGTTTCCGATGTTGGCTTGTCCCCCCAAATGAACGCTCCTATAACCATGTCTCGCATCGTCGGATACCGTGCTCCAGAGGTGATTGAGACAAGCAAGATAACTCAAAAATCAGATGTCTACAGCTTCGGTGTGCTCCTACTGGAAATGTTGACAGCAAAAGATCCCCTCCAGCAATCGGGGCATGATGACGTGGTCGATCTTCCGAGATGGGTCCATTCCGTTGTGAGGGAGGAATGGACTGCCGAAGTCTTCGACGTGGAGCTGTTGAGATACCAAACTTTCCAAGAAGAAATGGTGCAGATGCTTCAGATTGGACTAGCATGCGTGGCGAAAACGCCCGATATGCGTCCAATGATGGACGAAACTGTTAAAATGATTGAAGACAATCAGAATCCAAGATCCGGACATCCTCGGAGGCCGAATCGAACATCCAAACACCATGATTTGCACCCCAAAAAAAAACTGTTCTATTTCGATTTTCAAATGCTCAATTCTCTAGTCCTTAAGGTTGCTTGTCTAGAAAACCTTTGGGACAATAAGATTCTGTTTCTCCATTTTGCTCGGAAATTACATTTCTGAAATTTACATGTTCCTTGACTCGCAAGCTATCATCAATGTATCTGATGTCCAATGGACATATTTGCAACGCCATGCCAAATTTAGCTTGTTTGTTACTTGAGGATTTCCATATACCTAACAATAATAACTAATAAACTCATTTGATCATCTCAAAATCCTATATTCTCGACTTGCAACCGTCGTTTTCGTCCACCTTAAATTTCTTCGACCTTTTTCTCCCCTCTTTTCTTTTTTCGGCATGGATGGTCGTAATCACATGGTTTTATTCAAAATGGTTTGATTCCAAAGAACATCAAAATCCCAATAGGACCCCAAGGTAAATGTTTTTCTTCCTTTTTCAATTGATTCTTCATACAATGATAAATTTAGTCGATTCAGGTCATATTTCGTTCCATCGGTATCCTTAAATTTCCACCACTGGAGAATGAACCTGAAATGAAAGGGATAAACAGCTACCATTTCCTTTGGTATCCTATGAGAAAAAGAGATACGTAGAATAACCGAAACACGAGAATTTTAATACAGAAATATATGCAGAGACAGAAGGATCTTTGAGCTTTGAAATTATGAATGATGTTCTTAAATGAAGGATTCACTTCCTCCTTTTCGAGTCATATGAACTGATATTTATCGAATCCATAGAGGCCTACTGCAACTTCGTCGGTAAGGGCCGGCTGGGCAAATGGGACAGTGTTGGAGCAAGGTTAGTCCTTTTTGAAACAACCATGTACAATGCAGAAAAACAACGCTTTTCGTGTAACTTCTGTCGCAGTCTGCTCATTCATGATTCATAACATGTTATGACACTACGACTGCTGATCTTTTCTCGTACACATAATTCCTTTCGTTTAACAATGCAAGCATCGAGTTATGTATTTCGAACAATCCCGAGTTCCCAGATGGCATCGATCCTGTTAAGTGTGCCCTGCAACCGTTGCCAAAGGGCCTGCAGGTGACAGGAATGCCTTTGATTTCATAATGGCATTGTTTCAAATAGTGTGCTCATCTGTATATTTCTTTATCTAATTGCTGTTAAAGCTGTTAGATCATGTTTCATATGATTGTTGATGATAAAATACGGTGCATATATACATAAGCGTGTGTGTTTATATATATATACATACCGTAATCTGTATTAAAACACTTTTGTTGCACAGTTCTTGCAGTTCTTCAAGTGTCCTAAAAAGAAACAATAAGGGTAAACAAAAAAAGGCATCCGGTCCCGAACCTGCGAGCAAGAACATTCACCATATAACTACCATACAGAGCTGGGAGGAAAGTCTAACAGAGGCAACCAGAGATGGAAAGACAGTAAGCCCCTTCACATTGTTGTCATTCGATAAGCATCGAATGTCCTTCATTTCGTGTTCCTCATTGCCTTCATACATGCTTTCATACAGCTCGTTGCGAATTTCAGTGCACCATGGTCGGCTCCATGCAAGTCGATAGCACCAGTCTACAGCGAACTCGCGGATAAATATACTTCTCTCATGTTCCTAACCGTGGACGTCGATGCACTTGCGGTAAGCGAAAAAAAGGGTATTTTTTAAAAACATATTGCAGGAAATGATTATTGATGAGTTCATATGGTACTGTCATCATATATAGGAATTCAGTAATTCATGGGAGATAAGTGCAACACCAACATTCATTTTTATTAAAGAAGGAAGGCAAGTGGACAAGTTTGTGGGTGCCGACAAGGTAGAACTCAAGAAGAAGATAGCAGCAGTTGCTGCCTGCAAGTTTTGACAGAGAATTTTCCAAGAAAACAACCATTGTGTTCTGTGTTTGGATAGCTGTTTTAGAAACGGGAAAAAAAAAGATGAATGAAAATGCTGCAAATTTTGTTTGAAATTTCGGATTATGCTCTAATGCTACCACTTGGTGTTTGTTTGAGGGATGTTTGTGCTTTGTAGTTTATGTTTCTGATCTTGTTCGATCTGTGACATTTACAATTAACAATTTCGAAACATAACATTTACCCTAGTCTTAACACAGATAATGCATGTTGTATCTTTAGCCGTTTAACTGAACAGAACGTTTAACGAATAGTTCTCGTTTATAAAACTAAAGAAACGAGTATGAATAAAAAGTTTATGTTACTTTATAAACGAATAAATATGAACATAAATGTATACAATGTGTTTATGTTCGTTTATTAACTTAAATGAACAAGTATGAACATTTTTGTATGTTCATTAAATAAAAGAACGAACACCAATAAAATTTGAACACCGAAAATTTTTTATCAACTAAATGATTCTCCTTCTACTTTTATTTATTTTTTTACATTTTAGATATTGATTAAGGTAGAGATTAAATTAAATATGTGCGTGTCAATTTTTAGAGTTTAAACTATAACACATAAGGAACTTAAGGACTATTGGAGTAATTTTACCATTCTTAAAATTTGCAAATAAAAAAGATAAAAAAAAGTGTAGGTTATCGAACATTAAACAAATATGTACACGAACACATAAAAATAAATAAACAAACACGATATTAAAAATTTAAATAAACACAACTTTGTTCAACCAAGATCGGTTCATTTACACCCCCGAAGTGTCTTCTCAACAAACATGTTTGAAAGAGCAGATGGCAGTGTCTTAATCAGAGAAACAACAGATAGAAACATACAAGTTCATTATTGACAATTTCGACAAATATCAAACTTAACGATGGAACAAGAAGCCCGCTGCTGGTGTAACAGACGAGCGGGAATACCCCGAGTCGATCTCAAGCATTTCTATTAAGAAATGAAGCTGCAGGCCTCACATATGTGAACCCCTTAAACGGATTCTCCCCAAAAGTTGGGCTAGCAACAGGAGAGTCATGAACCGGCATGTTAGTCCAGCACTCCTCGAAATTTGCAACACATTGGTTCCCTGCAACTTCAGGGAGAAAACTTGGCCTTATCTCTCTAGCTTCTAATTTCTTCCAGTTGATGGGCTTGAACCACTTGTGCCGTTTGATCTCATCGCTACCACCTTGTCCACTGCCAAGCCGCTTGCTTGCTTCTTTCTGCAGCAACTGAAGTAACAAAATTCTTCTAAATTTAACTATTTGCAGAATCAACCTAGAGCATGATTTGTTATCAAGGCAAGAAAAATGCAAACTGAAAGAAAGTGAGTTTACCCCCTTGAGGATCGAGTGTGCTTCACTCGACAAAAATGCCGGCAGCTTCATCTTTTCCTTTATGATTTTATCCTGGATCTTCTGTCTGTTTCCACCACAAAAGGGTGGCTGCAAAATGGTAAAAAATAAATGAGAGTACGCTAAGCATGACAAATCAATGGATGAGAAGCGCGTGACACTAACACCCCGAACTTCTAGAGGACGTAAAAACAGATCGAGATCTTAAGTCGCAAATACTAACCTTCCCCGTAAGCATTTCGTACAGTAGAATTCCCACACTCCACCAATCAGCAGCCTTGTTGTGGCCTCTGCCAAGAACAATTTCAGGTGACATATATTCTAAAGTTCCACACATGGAATTGGATCTTGTATTTTCGTCAAATTCCTTTGCTAGGCCAAAATCAGTCAGCATAACCTGACAACATACAGGTAGCACCAGCAACCATAAAAATAGTTTAGAAATCAATCGATGCAATGTTAGACAAGAGCCAACAACGCACACAGTTGACCAATCATGCAATCATATAGCTTGTGACAGCCACAAAACCGACCAGCAGGTCACAAACAATATTTTCAGCTTTGAAAACTTGGAATTCTGGAATAAGCATGAAATACACATTTGCACTCATGAACGGCATTTTGCACTCTCTTACATGTCCATCTGCATCTAGAAGAATATTTTCAGGTTTGAGATCCCTGTGCATTATGCCATTTGCATGGAGATGAGAAACAGCCGATACAATCTCTGCCGTATATATGCGAGCCAAATCTTCCCTGGAGAAGGAAATGCGAAATGTTGGTACTCTCCAGAAACTTACATAATAAAGACATATACAAAAAGAAACCAGGTTACTATGATGTACCTGAACAATCCCTGGCGATAAAGCTGGAAGAAAAGATGCCCCCCATTAACAAAGTCAAGCACAAGGTACAGCCTATATTTGGTCTGCAGGAAATGATAAACAAATAAATTATTAGTATTAATATTAATTATCAGAGAAAAAAATTGGACTGCCAAAATATTTGGCACAATAGGCCATCCTACTCTACTAAAATGGCACCATTTAAGTATGTGAATACCATTAGAGAACAAAGAAAATAGAAACATCAAAACATTAGACGACTGGAACATCGTTACTTGGAATGAGTATCTGAGCTGCACAACGAAGGGGTGATCCACTTTGGTTAATATATCCCTCTCGGATTTCATGTATTCAGCATGATTTCTCTCCATAATCTTATCCTTGCGCATTACCTTCATTGCATATATGTCTGACGTATCACTCCTCCTTACTTGATAAACTTTTCCAAATGCACCTTGGCCAACAACCTTTAAAACTTCGAAATCTTTTAGCCCGACAAGCTGCTGTTCCAAGGGATGACTGTCTACGTGACCATGAGAATTCTCCGGAATAACATCATCGATCAACGGTTTCCCGAGCTCATTTTGAGCCTCATCCCTAACTCCTTCTACAAGTTCCAAGGAATCCCCAATTTCACGTAATGTAAGCTTGCTAAGTTTCAATGACTGGCTAACATAAGATGAAGGGCCAACCAAGGAGTGGGAGCGGCTACAGATGACAGCTGGATCATCATAAAGCAGTTCATTTGATTCAGTCACAACAATCAGATTTTTAGGATTCTCTGTGCTTGTTTCCATTGGTCCCTGAACTGGAGCAGGTCCAAACACATCAGAGAAATCAAACTCAAGAGGATCAGAGGTTGGGGTATCAGGTTGTCCCTTGGGAAAAAGGAACTGATTCTGGAAGCCTTTGTGCATGCAGGACCCATTAAAACTAGGTAAGCGAGAGGAAACCATGCTGCTTTTAAAGAAATGGGGCAAATTACTTTAAATAGGTTTTGAGGCTATAGTTGACAAGATTCCAAGACGCGAATAGATGAAGAGGGACTGCGTACAATGGCCTTAAAGAGCTGAAAGTTAACGTATGCAGCAGGGGTACCCAGGAAACTTGGAAGCAAGCAAGCCAAAATCCAGAAGAGAAAGTCGTTCTTGTTTCCCGATTTGCAGGAAACTATGGATGCTACAGTGCTTCTTGAATTCATTAAGATCTGAATAACAAAGCTGTAGAACAAGGAAATACAAAGTCAGTTCCAGCTAAACATTGAAGTCCTACTACACATCTTAACATAGTGCGAACGAGCACCTGATGCACTAATGCATAAGATGAAGGTGTGTTCCATTTAAAAAAGAAAAAGAACCCTGAATTGTGTCTCATAACAGCCTACAAAGAAGGGTGAAGTACTGAATAATTAGAAGTTAACTAGCTAAAATCCTACTATGGCACAACACTCGAGACACCGTAACAATACGAATAAGCTTATATCTGATGCAGTACCACATCATTCTCCAACTAACACCCCGTCCCTTTTGTTTAGGTTTTAATACCGATAATGAAACCTGACCAACTAAACTAATTGCAAATTTCAACTATATCCCCATTATTCAACTTCATGTTACAAGTGGAAATACAAATCAAGCAAAATAATGGTTCACACCAAAGCACATTTTCTCTATTTGGTTGAGATTAAAATTCAAGTCAACGCAAAGCTCTAACTTAAAAGTTATGCGGAACAAAACTATGCGCTCACTTAGCTTATGCTACTCAGTAACATTAAAAAGGAAACCCGAACCCTAATATCAAAATCCAAAGACAACCCAACATGATTTTATCATAAAAATTAACATTAACCTAGCCAATTGAACCCGAATATGAACCGAAGCAACCAAAATTTTCCAAAACAAATTACAAACACAAATTAACGCGACCCAGCATGATTTTATCATAAAACCGAACCCAAAAATCGAAAACCAAACCCGACCCTATATAATTTTATCATAAAACTTAACAACCCTAACCCAGCCATTTGAACCCGAATATGACCGGAAGCAACAGAAATAAACCAAAAATTTCCAAAAATTTATAACCCAAATTAACCCGACTCAGAACGTTCCGATCCAAAACCAATCTAACCCACTCAATGATTCAACATGCAAGACAACAATAAGCGGAAAAAACAACGAAATCAGACCTAGATCTGAGCAGCTTGAAACCCAGTATTTTTTCTTTAAAAAAACACTATTATTCACAATAATTTCATAAAAAAAAAGAAGATATAGAGAAACGACTATTGAAATGACAAATAGGAAAAGAAACTACACGATTCAATCGAAATTTGATTTCCCAAACCAAAACCAAAACAAAAACATACCTAGAATAAGAGAAAAAAAAGTACGTAAAATAAGAGACGAAGAGATGAAGAATAGACCTTTCGTCGAGTGCAGAGGAGAAGGCTTCTCTTCCTGAGGAATAAAAGGGGAAACTTTTGAAGTGAAAGGTGCCGTTTATGTAGTAAAATGAAAACTGCCTTCGATTTGGATTTCTGGTCAATTTCATTACGTGGCAGTTTTCTAGTGGTTGGTGTAAGAAAAATATAAATTCTAATTAATATATGCGGGTATGGGTTGTAAAATGTTTAAACGGGTAATTCAATTAATCCATCGAACGAGATTACCCAAATTTTATTAATTGAATTTTTTCACCCTTAATCATTAATCGAATTGATTTTTTTAAAATAATTTAATCGAATTGAACTAAGTTTGATTAATTGATCGGTTAATTGAATTAGCCAAAATTTATAAGTAATATATAAGTAATATATATTATATATTTAATATTTTTGGTTTATTCGGTTAATTTGATCATTTAAAAACCAAGTTCAAACACCCTAAAACTAAATAATATATATAATATATTAAATATTTAATAATTTGGTTAATTCGGTTAATTAATCAATTTCGAACCGAATTAACTGAAACTAAAATTTTAAAAAAATCATTAACCGTTAATCAATCGAACCCAAAATTAATCGATCAAAATTTTGATTCGATCAGTTAATTTAATTTTAACCGAACAGTGAACATCCCTGATGGGTTGTGAAATATATGGCATATTCCATCAATGTTGAATGTAAAAGAGAATTTTTATTTCAGGGCCTATTTGCCTGAATATACCAGAAATAATAGGGTAAATTACGAGTTTAATATCTAAACTATTAGTTTTGATCATTTTTAGTATCTAAACTTTTAATTTTTTCATAAACATACCTAATATTTAGTTTTTGTTTCATTTTAGTATCCCACCATTAAAAACGTTAGTTTTTATTTCATTTTAGTATCCCATTCAAAATTTAACGTTAAGTTTTGAAAATATTGAAAGTTTAGGTACTAAAGTGGATAAAGATTGATAGTTTATGTACTAAATGCGTTAAATTTTTAATGACATAATACTAAAATGAAATAAAAACTAAACGTTGATATGATTTTAAAAGAAATAAAATTTAGATATTAAAATATACCAAAACTAATAAATTAAGTATTAAATAAACATAATTCACCCTTTAAATAAAGATGTATTACATAGCAGTAAGCTGAGTTAGATTTTTTCTATTTATCTTAACTTAATTTGAATTTTTTACACATTTCTAGTTAACCCGATTCAAGTTTAGAAAAATTTTATCCAGCTCGAAATTCGACATAATATCTCGAATAAAAAAATTTACCTACACAATTTATTAATTATCTTTAAACATGACACCATCTTACACCATCTTCATTATATAGACAAATAATTATATAACCGGTTCAAAAATTGTATGATCAAAAGTAACCACATTTGATCGGTTGATCAAGTCGCTCTTCTTTGTTCCCTTATATTTCTTTAAGTTATGGATTTTAGACTCACTACGAGCGTTCTCCTTTCTTCATTTAGAATTCGTCCATCCCCTTCCCTCTGGGTAGGGTTATGATTAAACTTAGAATTTATAAAAAAAAAATAATGATTAAAACCCATCAAATGACCTTTAGTGTGTATACATTATCAATTAGTTAAAAAAAATTAAACATATGCTATTTTATAATTATCCGTACTGTTAAAAAATGTGTGATCAATATTTAAAACAAGTCTTTGTTCAAAGCAAATCGGTACAAAATCTATACCATTAGAATTATATATAACTCGTTTGGGAATACTTCTCCAAACGAGTTTTTTTTAACGAATTATTTTAAAAAAACAAATGTTTTTTCATTTTATTGGTTTGAGATAATAATCACGTTTCAAACGTAATTTTTTTACTAAAAAATAGTTGTTTGGAAATATTTTTACGTTTCAAACGGAATTTTGAGTCAAAAATACTTCCACAAGCATAAGCGTTTTCAAACCACCTCATATCTCATGGTAAACCATTCATTTTCCCTTTGGTTCCAATTAGAATCTCAACTAAAACTCTTTATGAATGCATGAATTTGGTTAACCATGAAGGTTACCAAATGAAAGAGACCTCATTCCCACAACAATAAACCACAAAATCAACATTATTGTCACTTTTATCCTTTCCATGATTCGCTCGTCCGCGAACCCGATAGACAAATCGCAACGAGTTGCACGATTTCGGAGCTCCGTCCGCTTCTACTCGGCCTCCGGTTTCCCCAGAAAGGTCTTCTTCAACCAATCGAATGGCTGCCAAAGAGAGAAAAAAAAGGAAAAGTTCTTAAAACAATGGCTTATGATTCATCAAGATTCAGTGACAGGCACAGCTATGCACACCGAGTTCTTCCCCCCATAGAACAATGAAACAACTCACAATCGGAGTAAAAAAACACTCGTGATTGAGACGAAACATTTCGATTTTATTCTCTATCACTTGTATCGGAAGCGGAAACCGTTTTTGCTTCCGATGACGTACGAATACCTGAAAGTTCACTAACATATAACGTTCCACTTGGTTAATCAATCAAATATCTCGTGTCAATGAGTTTCACTTAATTGACTGAATGCTCGAACAAAGCTCAAACTCCGACCTTTATAGAACAAACAGTCACAAATGTAGGCCAATCGTATGTGATCTTCGAGTATTAGTAGATCGGATGTTTAATGTTAAACAAACATATCAGCCTCTGGTTGGAACCACAATATCGCATATGATGCTTTAGGAGAAACAAGGGTGTTGCATCAAGAGGACAACAAAAAGTGGGCAAAGGTAAACGACGACATTAAACTACTCCGAACCAATGCATGAAGCGAAAAGAGAATTTGTACTCCAAGAGTGCTTTAGACCAACCTATGTTCGATCATGAACCCCATAAACTAAACCATATCTAGGTACGAAGCCTCGAACTCGAATTTTATGTCACTGTTCAAGAGGGAGGTATTGATTCGATAAAGAGACCGAGATATTGTTATTTGCAGGCAACAACATAATGAAGGCAGTCGATCGAGTTAGACCGATCCGGAATCTAAATCAAATCCAATATGACATCTAAGGGTACTTGCAAACTGTATTGATTCGATCGATTTTTCTTCTCCAACCCTAAATACCAGGCCTGGAAACAAACAGACGGCCACTAATGTATTCCACCTGATCTAATTCTAATAGCCGATTGGCGATCCCTAGACACCGAAAGGGTCCCTAGGGTTGGATCGATGATAATGTCCATGGATTTTCATTCCTTTTGCAGCATTTCATCAATCTATTCCCCTTAATTTCTCTTTTTAATACAAATATGATGAAATGGACAACTTTTAATCAAGGGTGACTCGACTAAAAAAACCAATTTTTTTTTAACTCAAATTAACTTCAAGTTGTATTTTTATAAACACTCGACTCTAATTTCATTCAAATTGAGTTGTAAAATACAATTAAAACAACTCAAATAATAACTCAAAATTTTTTGTAATTAGAGTATTAATTATTAGTAAAAATATGTACATTGTATATAGTAATAAAAAATCATTTAAACTAAAATCAAATAAAAACCATAATATTATAAATAAATATTTATAATTAAATTTAAATATAAACAAACTCGAATCATCTCGAAAAAATTTCAAGTCAATTTCAAGTTGTAAAATAGACCCTCAACTCAAATAACTCGAAATCTTTTTACCAGAATCAATCGAACACTCGCCTCTACTTTTAATCACATCTGTACTACTTACCTTAAATATAAGCAGAGATATATTCCCAGGTTTAATTTTCAAGATAAGCTGATCACAAAATAAATCCTAAAATATTAATCAATACAGATAAAAGGGAGAAAATCCGATGACAAACAATCAGAGAAATCTTTCTATGGATCTAATAGCAATTAAAGAATTAAACCTGGATGAGCCAAAGAGCGCCGGTAGTGGCAGCGACGCCCCACATGGCGGCGGCTTGGACGTCGGCGGGCTGTGGACGAAGCCCAGTCTTGAGGAACTTGAGCAAAGATTTTTCTCCAGCCATGTCCTTGAAATTCCCAACGTATTCGATCTCAGAAAACCTTTTTTGGGGCAGTAAATGATCTCTTCGTCTCGAATTTGTGTCGTCAAAATGCTTGAGGGTCAAAGTTTTAATGCTGCTCTGGTTCGATTCTAGTCTAGGGTTTGTTTTGGACCCTACGATTGGATCTTCGGTTTTCTCATCAACGGTGTATATCAGTTTTCATCAACACCCCTCAATCTATCTCTTTTTGCCATGTCACCACCCCTCTTTTGCTTTTATTTATTGGGTAAATTAAGTGCTTAGTATCTAAACTATCAGTTTTATTTCGTTTTAGTACCTACAGTTTTAAATTTTTCAAAATTATACTTAAATTTTAGTTTTCATTTCATTTTAGTACCCGTTCAAAATTTAATGTTAAGTTTTGAAAAAATTAAAATTTTAAGTACTAAAACGAATCAAAACTGAAAGTTTAAGAGCTAAACGCGTTGAGTTTTTAACGGTGGGTACTAAAATGAAACAAAAACTAAATGTTAGATGGTTTTGAAAAAATTAAAAGTTTAAGTACTAAAACGGATCAAAACTAATAATTTAGATACTAAATATGTAGTCTAATCCTTTTTGGTTTAGTACACATATTGGCACCTAAACTTGACAACTTTCCTTCAAATTAGTCTCAAGATTAGATTTTACGTCACGTTTTCATATTCTGATACCGAACAAAGTATCTATAGAAGCAATAGAATAAACATACTACAATGTGCAATCACTGGTAATGAGATGTCATTCTGATAACGGACAAAGCATCTATAGAAGCAATAGAATAAGAATAAACATACTACAACGTGCAATCACTGGTAATGAGATGTAATTCTGATAACGAACAAAGCATCTATAAAAGCAATAGAATAAACATATTGCAACGTGCAATCACTGATAATGAGATGTCATTCTGATAACGAGTGACCCTCGTGAATGAAGATATTCGACAATTCCACAAATTTCATAACAGGATAGACGATAGTATAATCCAATAAAAAAATAGTGCGG